TATATATATATGTATGTAAGTGTGTTTTATCTTCTTTTATTTAATTAAAAAAAAGGGGTTAAGAAAAGTTAAAGAAATATATATAAAGTTAAAAAAAAAGAAAAACCTCCCAAACTTCCCACTCCCTCACGTCTCTACCCCACAATTTCTAACCTCCCCAACTTCAAAACCACGTTCCCACTCTTCTCCTCCATAATCTTCACACATACACACTATATCACAATATAAAAGGGACATCTTGAACAAAGAAGAAAAGAACGTAAAAAGGAAAAAAGAATCTGACAAAAAGCAAAAAAAACAAAAAGTGAAAAGAAGTGAAAAGACAAAAGAAAAAGGGAACATAGAACTGGAAAAAACGAAAAAAGCAAAAAAAGAAAGAAGGAGACGGAAGAGAACAAAGAAAGAGTAAAAAAGAAAAAGGAAAGAAGTTTTTCTAGATAAAGGTTTGAGAGATTCTCGTGTAATTAGGAGGTCGAGTTTCCGTTCGTGGCTTCGGGTTCGACGCGCTACTATTTTGTCCGGCGTGAGTTTCGATATTGGATTGGAATTGTACTGGCTCTCTTTCTTGTATTACTGGAACTCTTTTGCTAAGGTGTTGATTCTATCCTTCTTCACTATTATTTTTTAAATAGTCTTTGAATAAATTCAGAGCATTAGGATTTGGTTCCTTTTAGTAGTATTTTATTTTCCATAACTGATATTTTTGCGCTTTATCTTTTTGAATCCTTTTCAACTCTCTATTTTATCTACTCCGTCTGAAATTGCTTTGCAACTATGGCTACACAATTTCATGATATCAACCAAATTTCAGGCAACTCGATGCAATGGAATCTCAAAGTTAGAGTCGTTCGAATGTGGGTAATCCCAGATCGAGGTTTAACATTAATTACATGTTTTTTTCAATTTTAGTTTATAAATATTATATAATTTTAGATTTATAATTATAGTAAATCTAATACACATGTAATTACTCGGTGCGTAGTTGTTGGTATCAGACAAAGATATGGATTAATCCTACGCTGCCGCAATCTACTGAGTTTAAATCCAGGTTTGTCAAGTGTATAATCCTTTTCTATATGTACAAAAAATATAAAAATAGTATTGACAAAACAAATTAGTAGGTAAATAATAATTTATATATGCACGGCAAATGTTCATAAATTTGTATATTATAAACCTAAATGACAAAAGTTCATAAACCTACAGAACAAAAGTTCTTATATATTCATTATCTTCCTTAATTTTCGACTTATGCAGATTCCTGACAGTACGTCAAATCAAACTTTGAGCGGATCACCCAAATAAGTTCACAACAAAGTTACTCTGTTAGAGATGAATTAGACAAAGGAATTGTACTGTTTAAAACTATTAGGGATTTAGTTCAGTGTACGGAGGTGAGTTTAATTTAGTGTTACGGTTTTATTTACCTTATGTTTTCTGTTTTGCATTTACAATGACTAAGATTTTGTATTGTTTAAAATTATTATTTAGTTCAGTGCATGCAAATGATTTTAATTTACTATAATATTATATGTACGTTATGTTTTGCATTTACAATAATATTTTCTTTATGTTAAATAGGAATGTAGCTATTGGATTGCGGCAAAATTGGTGAATTTGGAACTTGACCGGGGATGGTCATACTTGGCATGCAACAAGTGTACTAGAAAGGTTGACAAAGTTGGTACTACATACTTTTGTAAGAAATGCAATGAAGAAGCATCTTCTATTACTCACAGGTAATTACTAATATATATAAATTTTTATAAAAAATATGCATAAAGTTAATCAAAATTGAGTTGCAGGTATAGGCTTCAAGTTCGTGTTATGGATGGAACCATTTTTATCTTATTATTGCTTTGAAATCGCGATGCTATGCAGCTTATAGGGAAGTCCGCAAAAGAACATAAGGAAGGATTAGTTGAGGTATAATACTAAACTTAATTTAGTTATCAATTATAATATTTCTAACCTCTGAAATTTGGTGTAGACCTCAATTACGGATGCTGATTGTTCTTATCCAACTGAACTGGACGATATTGTTTATAAAAAATTCATGTTCAAGGTTATTGTTAAGAAAGAGAATATTGAGTCACAGGTCGAAATTTACAATGTTTTTAAGATTACTGATGATGATGAACTTCTGGAGGAATACGGCAAATTCGACGACACTATCACAGTAAACATTTTTACTTACAAACCTATGAATACTAAATTTAAACTATAAATACTTTTACACTCATAAGATGAATGTTTTTTTGGCTTTGTTTTTAACATGATCCACAGTTTTTTGATGGACAAAGCTCAAGTGGAGAGAAGATTTTCGAGGTAAATTTCATGAAATTAAAACTTTTATAAGATGATCCTCCTCATCCTTTCTTTTAAGAAGATGAAAAAGATATTAGTTTAAGACACTGGTGTGCTAGGTGATGTTCTTGGTGTACTACCACCAGCCTTGGCAGTAACTATCAGTATATTGTTTGGTTTTTATCTTGATCAACAGTGTGGTTATTAAGCAATGGCACATATATGATAACACAAGACAAATTGATTTATGACTCCAAAAGTGATATCAATAATTAGAAAGACATACCCTAGCAAGACACTTTGGAAAAAACGCAGCAGAGTCCAACCCGACATGGTCAATAAGCTCAAGATTCAGGC